GAACCCAAGAGCCTGAAGAACCAAGAACAATGTCACATTAACATCACATGGTCAGAATGAACTGGTCGAGGGCCCTTATCCTAGACTCCCCTCTCCTGGGCCAAAATCCACGGGCTCCAGAGTTTGAACACAGGAGCTTGAAAGCCTGCATGTTTTGGACCTAGCATTTACTACAGATGAGAATGAGTTAGTGGTTCTAACTGTGGGGTGCCCCCTGGGGGACATCTGGCAACGTCTGGAGACAATTTTTGGTCATTACAGCTGGGGGGACGGTCACTACTGGTATCTAGTGGATACAAGTCAGGGATGCTGCTAGACATTCTAAATTGCACAGGACAGCCTCCACAGAAGAGAATTATCCAGCCCAAAATGCAGAAGTGCTGGGGCTGGAAAACCCTGGATAAAATGAAGCTTAGGGTATGAAAAAGATGTGGCCAAGGAAACTGAGCTCACCACTAAGAAAACTGAGCACACCAAGACCAAATGCAATGGGACAGATCACCCAGAGAGAGAACAAGGCCTGCAACTGTTTGCCCAGGTAATCCAGGCAGTTCTAAGGCAGGCAGACAGAGGGGGGAGGAGGTATTTTGAGTCTGGGTCATTCTCATTAAGAACAGTCCTTTGAGGATGGGCCACTTTTGTCAAGGCGGTTCCCCACAACTCGCAATGCTCAGGCCCTTCCCAAAGGAGCGGAATCAAAACACTGCCAGGACACACGCTTCTCTGCATATAAAGTTTCTTCTCTATAAAGTTGCTACCAGGACCCACTCTCCCAAATCCCAGGCCGTGCCAGCCCTACCTGGCAGGAGGGTTCTTGTTCATGAACATCTCAATGGCCCGCTCATCCTCGGGGTCCACAACCACCTCCGCGTGGTAGTCTGGCCCTGTCATGGTGGCAGCCTTCTCCAGAGTGGGCCACTCCTCGTCATCTGATCCATTCTGTGGCACTCCTGGACTCAGAAGAGGGGAGATGAAATGGGTGAGCAAGGTAAGCGATGGCTTAGGAATTCAGAGGTTAACCATCATGTATATGGTCCAGGGCTGGCTTGTAATAGACACAGACGTGCAAAGTGAAACAGGTGATGCAAATGCTACCTTCCAGTCCCTGGGGGGCGCACAATCTTGCTTGAGAAACAAAATGTACACATATGAACCAATGAGACAGTGATAGTAGTAAATAACAGCTAACACACTATACTCAGTTATATAGCACAAACTCTTCTAAACACTGTACGTAACCATCATAAACCCAAGAAATAGGGACTATGATTATACCCAGTTTCAGATGGGGATGCTGAAGCGCAGGAAAGGTAAGGGACTTGCCTAAGGCAGGCGATCTAGGTCTAGACTGTGCATTCTTCACCTCTTTTACACGCATGGTAGGGCTTGATTATGTGCCAAAATGAGTGGCAGAAATGGTATATACCACAGGCACCCAGAAGATGATGAGTGCAGAGGATGGTTAGGCTCTGGATAGGCAATATGGGAAATGAAGGCGTGTTTTCCAGACCTGGGTAACAACACTGGCAAGAGGGCTTCGTTACAAGAGTGTCTGTTGGGAATTCCCTGGTGGTCCAGTGGTTAGCACTCTGCGCTCTCACTGCCGAGGGCGAGGGTTCAATCCCTGATCAGGGAACTAAGATCTTGCAAGCTGCACGGTGCGGCCAATAAATAAATAAACAAAACTTTAAAAGTGTATAATCAATGGTTTAAAAAAAAAAAAAAACCCAAGAGTGTAGACAGTTGCAAGAAATAAGGCTAGATGGGTAAAGTGAGGCCGGGCAGTGAGTTCAGATTTCAACAGACCAACCCATCTGAATAACCGATTATTGGAAGACTACAGCTGGTTGGGCGTCTGAAAAGGGAGGTAATAATCTAAGTGGGGAGATAAAACGCCACACATGAACAGGTCATTAAGAACAGAGACTGTGTGATAAAAGCTAAATAAGGGGGGAGGGGAACACGTACTAGATCTTTTGTCTCCACATGCTAACTCCCAAATCTGTACCTGTAGGTGGACCTCCCTTTGCTCCAGACCCTAACTCCAGCTGCCTCCTGCAGAGCTGGGTCATGGATGACCCACAGGCACTTCAACCTTCACCTGTCATCAACCACACTCACTCCCTTTCCCTCCTAGGTCTACACTACTCACTGTGTTCCACATCTAAGTAAATAGCACCACCATCCAGCCAATACTAAGCCAGAGCCTGGGCAGCAGGCCTGCCTTGTCCCCTGCCCTCACTCAAAACATCCAATCAATTACCAAGTCCTATTCCATTGTACCTCACAGAATCCCTCTTAAAGCCTTCACGCCCCCATCAAAGCCTAGGTCAGTTATCACCTGTTGCCTGGATTAATTCGACAATCCCCTAACTGGTCCCCATAGTCTCCAATAGCTCCCCATTGTCTTCAGGGCAGCCTACAAGTCATTTGTAGCTCTCGCTCTGACCTACCTCACCATCATTCATTCAGCAAACGAGTGCCTGCTATAAGTGAGGCACTGTTCTGGGTGCTGGAATATAAGCGAACAAGAGAAACAAAAACATTCTGCCCTTATAGAGCTTACATTCTAATGGCGGAAACAGACGATAAACTAATATGACATATATTACGTTTAAAAAAGACAAATGCCACGACAAAAGAAACGTAGCAGAAGAGAGAAGCTGGAGTGTGGAGACAGGGGTGGGGGTGTTGCAATTTTTAATGGAGTGCTCAGAGCAGGCCTAGGGGAAGCAGAAAAGGTCAGACTGACAAAAGGTATAGATCACACAGGTCTTTGTAGACCACTGTAATCCTCGAGCTGTGGAGCTGAGTGGACTGTAGCGGGTATGGGATACTAATTAGCAGGCTACTGCAACCATCCAGGTGAGAGATCATGGTGGTTTGAACAGGATGCTGTTCCCAGATGGTGAGAAGTGATCTGATTCTGGATATATTTTTAAGGGAGAGTCAACAGGACTTCCTAATAGATCAGACGTGGAGTGAGGAAGAGAGCAGTCCAAGGTTTCTGTCTGGAGCAAATGGAAGGACATCATGCCATTAACTGAGACGAAGTAGACTGTGGGTGGAGGTTTGGCAAGATGGTCAGGATTTCTGTTCTGGACATGTGAAATTTGAGATGTCTCAGACTTCAAACTGGAGAGGCTGAAGAGGTAGCTGAAATATAACAATCTGGGTTTCATGGAAAAGATCAGGGCTAGAATATGAACTGGGAAGCAGTTACCAAATACATGGTATTTAAACCTGGAAACTGATGATAGCACCAGAGCAGTGAACAGAAGTGAAGACAAGAGGTCCAAGGATGGAACCCTATGCCACTGCAAGAGGTTGGTGGCAAAAGAGGAGCCAGCAAAGGCTACTGAGAAGTGAGGAAGTTGTAAAACAGGTATGTGATGTCTTAGAAGTCAAGTAGAGATACTGTAGTCAGGAGGCTAGTGTTCCATTGTGAATACTGCTCACAGGACAAATGAAAGATGAGAGCTGAGAAACAGATTAAGCAACTTGGAGGTCAACACTCCCAGCCTAATAAGAAAAAAATTGACCACCTTTTAATTAATCTCTCTCCCTCTTTAGCCCCTAATCAATATTGTTCTTTGTGCTCAGAGCACTCCCCACTTTTCAGGTCTTAGCACAAAGGCCAAGCAATCTGGGAAGCCTGATCCCCAAGACTAATGCAATTGTTATCAGAGAAACTACACTTTATCACGGAGTGCATTATTCTAATTGTCCATTTCATCGTCTCTCTCCTGGGCTAGATTGTAAGATCCTGAAGTCAGGTATTCGTCTATCTTGTTTACTTTTTTACCTAAACCATCTAAACTCCTAGCACAGTGGAATGTACATAGTAGACATCCCATAAGTATTTACGGAACAAATGGATAAATACTAGCAGAACTTAGTGGCGTGAGCAACCACATCCTGTTGGCCTAACCTTGGGGCTGCCTAAAAGCGAGTGCCTAAAACTAGGAGTGGGAGTGGAGGGCACTGGCCACCCTCATTCCGCCTCAGGGCTGGGTGTCCCATTCCATTACCTTTGCAAGAGTGTAATACGGCCCCCTGTTTTTCTATTCCAAGCTATTCCCCTTCCGGAACCTTTCAGCCATCCACCCCAGCTACCCACCCTCTTCCTCGTACCCACCCCGGCCACTCACCCAGCCGCGTGGTGCGCTCCCGCGGCGCCGCGGGCCTGCCCCCGGTCCCATGCTCGGCCTCGAGCTCCTCTTGCTGTTGCCGCGCTTGCTGCAAAATCCGTCGGGTCAGCCGGGGCCCCACGTACTCTTCCTCCTCTTCTCCGGTTCCACGACCCCGTCGCTTTTCCCGGGCCCCTGCCCGCACCGCGTCCCTAGCCAGGATTTGCTCGGCCAGGGGCGCATGCTTTTCCTGACCCCCGGCCCCGCGAGCCGCTTTCAATTTGGGCATTTTTCTCGAGAGCCTTGCCGGGAAGTTTCACACGTGTGGATGGAGGAAAAAGCCCTGAATGCGCTTGCGCAGTAACCTCCCAGCGCCCAAGATGCCACACGGAGCTCACAGCGCCCCCTCGCGTTGGGAGGCCGGGACTGCCACCAGCGCCACCCTATCGCCTAAAAGAGCTCACGGGTCCTGGAGCTGGACTCCCGAATAAACTCATTGCATTTAATGTTGGCTTCTCTAAGTGGTGGCAGTCCGAGCCACGCTTTCCTAGCTTCTTGGATCTAGGCCCAGTGTTCCCAGTGGAACGGAAATTCCCCGAACGGGAAGCCGGGGGGATGGTGGTGGTGGTGTCAGGCAGTGACGTCACTGGGGCGCCTAGACACGCCCCTTTTCCTCGTGAGCTAGACGACTGGGCGTTCTGTTTTTACGTTATTTCCGGAGCGTCTCCCTGCTCTGGAGCTTGCGTTAGTTGGGCTGCTTCACCTCGTGTGGGCTGCCGGAGAGTACTGCATTTCAGTTGTTTGATCCTCCCATCATCCTGGCCCGACACCATGGGAGTGACTTGGTAGGACTTCAAGGGATTTTGTGGGGGCGGGGCTTGGGGTCTTGAAGGCCCTCGGAACCTCCAGTGTACCCGGGAGGAGGATCGGGACCGGGGTCCGCCGCCCCCCGGGAGCTGAGCAAGATGTCCTCGTGTTGTGTGGGTGAGGGGGCCACCGTGAGGGCTGCGGAATCTGCGGGACTTTTCCCTCGGAGATGCGCCCCTTCCTCCTGGAAGGCGGCAGGTAAAAGGTTTTATCTTAAGAACCCATCAATTGTCGTGTACCTCCTTCCCTTTTTCTTGGTACGTTTTGCTGCCCGTGAGGCCATAGTACTGCCCGGGGTGGAACTTTAGGGTCGGAAGTAGGATATCGGGACTAGGACCCATTTTCAGGCAGGGCTGGATGGTGGGGGATAGGCAACAGGCAGACAGTATCTTTTTAAGGTTTTCGCCTGTGTATTTTTCGCCTGTGTATTTTCGCCTGTGTAACCTTTTTAAGGTTACACCAGCCTGTGTATGGTCCTAGTTTGGCCATTTTAAGATCTTGGGTCTAGAGGAAAAAAAGAAGCTATTGGGAATTAGGAGATTGGGATTCCAGGCACATCACCTCTTCAGGACCTGTTTCTTACTATGTTTAATTACATGGTTGGTTTAGTTTCTATGGACTTATTATCTCTAACATGTTATAAGTCAGTGTGGCAGGGAAAGATATGGACCTAATTTTCTTGGAGGCATTAGTTCCAAAATGCTAGATTTCAGGGCTTTAAAAAAATATATATATCTTGAGTATCCTTCGGGTCAGAGAGGGCTGGAGGCCAGGGTATCTGAAGTCAGTGGCTCTAGGCTTTTCATATAAGAGCCTGTGGGAACTCGTCCTCCTGGTAGCCCAGGTCTTGCAGGTTTGTCAGGGACTGCACATTTGCTTCCTGCAGTTGACTTCATGAGTTTCCTTCGAAGTCCTTTAGTGTAAGAAGGATGTGAGGAACGTGAATGAAAAGTTTGCTGAGGACTTCCCTGGCGGTCCAGTGGTTAAGACTCCACGCTTCCACTGCAGGAAACTAAGAGTTCCGCGCCTCCCTGTTTGCGGAACGTTCGCGGAACTAAGATCTGGTATGCCGCGGGGCGCAGCCAAAAAAAAAAAGTTTGCTGCACAGAGGCATGGAACCCTGTTCTTTCAGTGCAGAAGGCAGACAGAGGGAAAGGGCTCTCTGTCGGTTGGGATGCTTCTCAAGTTTTTCAGCCTTCTAGGACTTCTGACCCCGGTAGCATTACCTTAGGGATTTTTTTTTTTTTTTTTTTTTGGCCTCCGCTGTGCCATGTGGGATCTTAGTTCCCCTAAGAACTAAGATCGAACCCTCGCCCCCTGCATTGGAAGTGCAGATTCTTAACCATTGGACTGCCAGGGAAGTCCCAGGGGTTCTCTTTTATTTCAAAATCAGGCACATAAGCATCGTCATCATTGCTTGTTAGTGCTTTTTCTGATGGAGAGTAGTGACAATTTTTTAGCAACAGTAGGACTCTATTTTTATAGCTTCATTTAGTTGATTATGATTGATCATAAAGCAATGCAGTGTCTCCCCAAATTCAGCCACGTATGACTGTATTTATGATTTTTATTTAGTCATGTAGCACTTGAACTATTATTTATTTGTTTATTTAATTTATTTTTTGGCTGCGTTGGGTCTTCGTTGCTGCGCGTGGGCTTTCGCTAGTTGCCATGAGCGGGGACTGCTCTTCGTTGCCTTGTGCGGGCTTCTCATTGTGGTGGCTTCTCTTGTTGCCGAGCACGGGCTCTAGGCACGTGGGCGTCAGTAGGCACGCGGGCTTCAGTAGTTGTGGCACGCGGACTCAGTAATTGTGGCTCGCAGGCTCTAGAGCGCAGGCTCAGTAGTTGTGGCGCACGGGCTTAGTTGCTCCACGGCATGTGGGATCTGCCCGGACTAGGGCTCGAACTCGTGTCCCCTGCATTGACAGACGGATTCTTAACCACTGTGCCACCAGGGAAATCCCCTGAACTATTATTTATTAATGTCTTCTTTGGATTCTGTTTCTTTTCCTTAAAAGTATTTTAACAGACAACTGTATTCCTGGGGAAGCATTCTGGTAGACTGGTTAAGAGCACAGATATGGAGCCAGCTCGCCTGGCTTTGAAATCTGGTCACGCCACCCCACACCAAGCTTTGTGACCTTGTGTGAGTTATTCAACCCCTCTGTACTTCAGTTTCCTCATTGACAATGAAGAGATAATAATATTATATCTTATAAGGTTGATGTGAAGATTCAAAGAGTTAATTTATCTAAAGGCCTTTGGACACTGCCTGGCACATAGTTGGTGCTTGGTGATTGTTTCCTACCGCTCTGAAGGGGAAGCTAGTTTCACTCACCATAGAAGGAAATCTTGGAAATAACTTTTTGTTTCATTGTTTTGGTTAAATTCTTGTACGTACTGTTGCCTCTCACTCCCAAAGATTAGAAACTTGAGGCTTGCTTTCTCTTTGATCCCAGGATCCTTAGAACTTTCTGCATCAATGGAAATGTTCTGTGTCAGCACTACCCAGTACACTAGCCCCCAGCCATGTGTGGCTGTCGAACCCATGAAATGTGGGTAGTGTGCAGCTGAGGAGTTGAAGTTTTAATTTGTTTTATTCACTTAAGTGTAAATAGCCGCATGTGGCTTGTGGCTACTGTGCTGGACAGCCCACATGCAAAGTGTTAGAGAGTTGGTAAAAACATAATAACCCCAAGTTGAGGCTTTGTCTTTGATGTAGTCAGAGCTGAAAGAAACGCAGAGGAAATCCCTTTCTCATCGTATAATTCAGTGTTACTGCATGCTCAGTCTGTATGCCACCTAAAATCTTCTCTTGAACATTGACACACATACCACACTCGGGAAATGCTGTTGCCATAGACCTGAGTCCTGAGACCTGCTCTGGTTCTTAGCAAAGCTCTCAGGGACTGTGGGCCTCTCTTTCCCTGTCTTTAAAATGAGGAGGTCTGGGTTGATGGTGTCTAAGGTAACTACTGGCCCTGATGAGCTGTGATTCTGCGGGTGAGTGAGTGACTCAATGAGTACACGTACATGATGATTTTGGTCCTCTCCCTTCCAGTGTGTCCCAGATGCCCGTGGCCGAGGGCAAGAGTGTCCAGCAGACCGTGGAACTCCTCACCCGGAAATTGGAGATGCTTGGAGCAGAGAAGCAAGGAACATTTTGTGTGGACTGTGAGACCTACCACACGGCTGCCTCTACCCTTGGCAGCCAAGGTCAGTGAGAGATTGGTCTATGGGATGGCTGCAACCTGGCGTGGAGTTAATAGACATTCATGTTCATTGAAACCTTTCTGCTCTTCTGCTGAGGGTGGTATTCGTGGACATGTGGCAGATGAGTTTCTGAATTCATTAATTTTTGGCTTCATCTCTTAGACTGGGCCTGTGTTGTAGTCTTTTTGCACTTTGCACTTTTAAAACAGTGTTTCTCAGAGTGTTGGTCACCGACGAATTGCCTCAAAATCCTCTGGGTTACTTGTTAAAGGTGCAGGTTCCTGGCGCACACCCCCACCCCACCCCACCCCACCCCCGCTTACTGACTGACTGGTAATCAGTCATAATCTACATTATAATAAGCCCCACAGATGGTCTTCATGCCCCCTTAAAATTGAGAAAGACTCCTTTGAGGCTCAGAAGGCTTTGCATATGATTCTCTTGGAGCTTTAGAGTTTTGGGAACTTTTGTAGAAAGGCTTCCTGTTTCCCACACCTAGCCAGTGGCCTTGGCTACCTCCTTAGCATAACCTTGATCAGTGAAACAGCTTTTGTTTTAAATGCATTTCAAGGTGAGATGGGCTGTGGTTGGTGATGTTAGGGAGGTAAAGAGGATTTTTGGATAGGAATTAGGGGACCTGGGTTCTCTTAGTCTTGGCTCTGTAGTAACTTGATTTTGGACGGTTCCATAGCACAGTGACTAAGAGCCTAGGTCATGGAACCAGACAACTGAGTCCTGGCTCTGCCACAACTAAGTGCAACTTTAGGTTATTCCCGCAACCTGTGACTGTTCTTATGCTGGTCACTTGCCTGTTTCCCCAGGGATCCATTCCCTGCACTTCTCCTGCAAACTACATTTGCAAGGCCTCCTGTAAGTTATCTTTGGCCAGTGAGAGGCACGGGGGAAGATTCAAGGATGGAAGAAAGAGAGTCCACAGTCTCTCTCTCCCTCTCCCTCTGCCTTGGGCTGTGTCTCTGGCTGTTGTTTCTTCCTTGGTTCTAGCTCCTGTTCAGCAGCCCTTGTTCCTGGCTCTCGTAACAGCACATCTTCTCTTTTTTCTTCCAGCCTTAGGGATGGTAGTGGCTCCCTGTGTTGCTAATCTTTGGGTGGCTTCACCATTCCATTCGATTTTTCAGTTATTCCAACCCCTGTACTTCATTCCCTGTATTAAATCCCCTCTAATGAAACTGTCTGGTGGGGGCTATGTTTTTTGCACCCTTCCCAATACAGTTCTCTTATCTGCAAAATGAAGAGAATCACCGTATTTACCTCCTAGTGTTGTCGTGCTAGTTAAATAAGTTAATACACGCAAAGCACTTAGAACAAAGGTCGTCATGGAATAAATGTCTAGTAAATGGTAGCTAAGAACTGAACTGAATTTCATCATCAGTAAAATTGCAGCGTTAACATTTGTTTTGACTGCAATAGGAAGAATACAAGGAATCAAAAGAGAGAACCGTTATGAAAGCATTTGGAAAACAAAACACTTGTATATAGACATAAGATAGCATGCTACTTCTGAGAAGCTCTTTGGCCTGGGCTCTGTTTTCCTCATCAGACCTTTACTTTCAAGGAACTACAGTCTAGGTGGAGAAACAGCACATTCTCAGCAGGCAGTGGGGTAGAATGGGAGGAGCTCAGAAGGCCTGGATTGGAGTTCCGGTTCTGCTGCTTTACTGGTTCCGTGCCTTTAGGTCAGAAGTTCTCACATTGACTAGCGTTAGCATCACCTGGAGGGTGGGAAGGCCCTCAGATCGACCCCCCCCACCCCTCACGAGTTTCTGACCCAGTAGGTAGGGGGTGGGGCGGAGAATTTGCATTTCTAACAGGTTCCCAAGTGGTGGTGGGTGCTGCTGATCTGGGACCCAAATCTTTAGTTGCCTTTCGACTGTTTTCGAGACAGTAAGAACACCTGCAGACTCCCGTAGTATGAACTAAGCATGTAATCACAGTGAGTCTGCACAGGAACAGAATGCCAGATTGGCTTTGGATGTCTTTTTACTGGAGGGTTGAAATGTTTTGAACTGGATTTCTCAGATGAAAGGTGTGAATTTGCAGCAGGCAGTGGGGAGGGCGTGGGAGAGGCTGGTGTGGAGCCTGGTGTGTTCAGGAAGTGGCAGCACAGTGGAGGCCTGTGTAGAGGTCACAGCGCCCCCCACCTGTCTCCTCACTCTTTCCCATCGCTGCGCTCTCATCCCTGCCTGAATCCCACCCTCTCTTCATAACCTGGTTTTTCCATGAAAGTTTTTCCTGCTGACTCTTGCCCACTTTGATCACTTCCTTCCCTGAAGTCTTTCCTTCCTTCTCAAGACTTCTGGTCTCTCCCAGGCAAGCACTTTCGTTTTATGGTGTTCTAAAGAGTTTTCCACCTATCTTTAGTGAGATTGTCAGCTTCTTGAGGCCAGGGGCCAAGCCCTCTGCTTGTGTGCCTCTTAAACCCTGGCACAGTGTTGGGGATAGTTTAAGTACTTAATAAATATTTGGGGTTGTGGCAGTCTGTCCATTAACTCTTGTAGTGAACAAACCTTGCTTCCCATTTTTTGCCTTCTTCCATTTTCTACTTAACTAAAAATCTATACAGCTTCCCTTCCTTCTTGCAGGAAACCTATAGTAATCAGTGAGAAAACTCATTTCTCAGAAACTGGAATGGGTGAGCTGGGATTTGAAACTGGATCTTGTGATTCTAGATCCTGAGTTCTTTGTGCTGTAGTTGTGCTGCTTGCTTCCCAAGCCGGCTAGATGTCTTAAAATACTCCAAAGGCTCCCCGTTGCCTTCAGGGTGAAGTCTGAACTTGGGCACAGGGCCTTCCCTGGCAGTCCAGTGGTTGAGACTTTGCCTTCCAATGCAGGGGCTGTGGGTTGGATCCCTGGTTGGGGAACTAGATCCCACATGCCGCAACTAAGAAGTCCGCATCCTGGATCCCGTGTGCCTCAACTAAGACCCAGCACAGCCTAAATAAATAAATAAATAAATAAAAACAAATATATATATATATATTTTTTTTTTTGCAGTACGCAGGCCTCTAACTGTTGTGGCCTCTCCCGCTGCGGAGCGCAGCCTCAGCGGCCATGGCTCATGGGCCCAGCCACTCCACGGCATGCGGGATCCTCCCGGACCGGGGCACAAACCCGTGTCCCCTGCATCGGCAGGCGGACTCTCAACCACTGTGCCACCAGGGAAGCCCCAAATAAATATATTTTTTTAAATGTTTAAAAAAATTTTTTTTAAATGAACTTGGGCATGGAAGAGAAGGCTCTGGCCTCCCCTTCCAGCCTCGTGCTCAGATACTCTTCTATGGGGCCACTTCCTATGTTTCAAAGAGGGAGGAGGCCAAGGAAGGTAGGGATGGACAGAAAAGAGAGCAGCTGCTTCGTTTGGTGTGCTCAAATGCTGTTACTTTTATTTTCCTTAATATGTGATACCTGTTTGTACAAAAGACCATATGTAAATCCTCTGAGTTATTAGTCATCATCCTTAATCATCCATCTGTGAGCCCATGACTCAACTTAAGAATTAAACCATTGTCCACTGTCGAAGTTCCCCGTGTGCCCCTCACCTTTTTCTGTAGAGCAGGTGGGTTATACCACATGCCACCTTTTCCTCTCCCTTCCTCTCTGGAAATGGCTGTTGGCGAGGGGCTTTCCTCCACTGCCCGCCAGGACCGTTGAGGTGATGCTCGATTGCCACCTGGCTTTGTTCAGCGCATTGGACTCTGCTCCGCGGTTTGCTGACGAAGGTCTGGACACTGAGCAGCATCTCCGTCCCTCGCAGGTCAGGCCGGGAAGCTGATGTATGTGATGCACAATTCCGAGTACCCTTTGAGCTGCTTCGCCCTCTTTGAGAACGGCCCTTGCCTTGTTGCTGACACCAACTTTGATGTGCTCATGGTGAAGCTCAAGGGCTTTTTCCAGAGTGCCAAGGCCAGCAAGATTGAGACCCGGGGCACCCGCTACCAGTACTGTGACTTCCTAGTGAAGGTGGGCACGGTTACAATGGGGCCCAGTGCCCGAGGCATCTCCGTGGAGGTAAGACCTCGGTGAAATAGGAGCATATGTGCTGAAGGGGCTGGCTCTGCAGATTTCCACAGCCCCTGAGCAAACAGATGTTTCTACCTACCTGATTCCTGTCCACAGAGCCACTGCGCTTCCTCTCCCTGCGTCTTTTACCCTTTCTTTAATCACTCAGGGACTCTCTAACCCAAGATAGGAATGGGAAGCTGGGTTCTCAGCAGGTAGAGAGCTTAGGAAGGCTGACTTGCTGGAGAAGGGGAGGGTTGGTCGGAGAGTGCGGTGGGAGCAGGTGAATTCTGATGTGGAGGGACCAGTCACCCATCACAAGGACTGGAGCAGACCAGGGCAACTTTCAGTGCAGTTAACTTTTGGGAGGTGGAAAAGTTGTGCAGCATGGGAATTCCCTGGTGGTCGAGTGGTTAGGACTCGGTGCTTTTACTGCTGGGGCCGGGGTTCAATCCCTGGTCAGGGAACTAAGATCCCACAAGCCACCCCGGCCAAAAAAGTTGTGAAGCAAAGATGTGCCTTTCCCTTTGACATGCTGTCTACTCTCATGGTGTGTGTGATGACTTCATCTTTGACGTATACACTGAAAATGACAAAGACGGAGTGTGTCAGTAGCTTTGGGACCAGTGAGAGTCTGCAATCTACCATGGTCCCCCCCAAAATAATAAGTAAGCTACAGGGCCTGCCTTCTGAAAATTGACGATTTAGTAAAAGAGCAAGGCCCAAACACACAAACTGTTTTTGAAGTTAGTCTATAAGAAATGCCATAAAAGAGGCACAGATTGCTCTGGGAGTTCAGGCCAAAGAGAGCACTGCTGACTTTGGGGATTGTGATGCCTCCTGCAGGAGTAGCATTTAAGGAGGGACTTAAAATATAGAAACCGGGGATAGGTCAGCCCTAAGGAGCACCCCAAGTGAAGAAAAGGGCGTTAGTGGTCATTACTGCTATGACACTCCAGGGACCTCTAGAGCCAAGATTTCCTGACCCTTTTCATTTGTGATACACCTTGCATTTGCCGAGACCCACTGGAAACCCAGTCTGTTTATCCTTCACGTTTCCAACTTTTGAGTACAAACACAGCCTGGCTGTTTCTTTACTTGTTTCTCCTTATGGTTTCTTTACTTGTTTCTCCTTATGGTTACCAGTAATTTCCCCGGCCATCTCTCCAGTGAAAAATTAGGAGAGGAAAATGAGAAAGCCTAAGATATGTGTCCTTTGGCCCCTGTCACATGGGTTGGGAAATTATTTCTTAGGGTCAGAGCCCAGGTTTTATCTACTTAGGGAGTATTGTTTGGTCTTGAAGTGACTTATGAGCGCATGTGTCTACTTTACCCTCTACTGATCCCCCCAGCACACACACACACACACACACACACACTCTCATACACACTCACTCTGTCTCCTGCTCTTCATTTTCTCTCTCAGAATTTTCCTGAGCTCTCCATGAATCTGCATCCAGCATAGCTGGGACTATATAGTTCTGAGATAATTCAAAGGGTCCTAAATCTGCTTCTGGGTCTTGTGCGTAGGACTGTGGGTTGATAACCCCAAGATGAGACTATCTGAGCCTAAAGGGAACTATGCTGGGTGTGTCGAATCCCTGGTGTTTGGGTTGGATATTTCCTGCGGGGCAGCCCTGTGCTAGAAGGTGTGTGTCTTTGCCTCAGGGTTGGGGAAGAGGGGCACGGGGGGCAAGAGGCGCACGAGAAGCAGACGACCTGTCCTGGCCCTCGCTTACCCTCCGTCTCTGTTCTTCTGGTCCCCAGGTGGAGTATGGCCCCTGTGTGGTAGCTAGCGACTGCTGGAGCCTGCTGCTCGAGTTCCTGCAGAGCTTTCTAGGCAGCCACACCCCAGGGGCTCCCACTGTGTTTGGGAACAGGCACGACGCTGTCTACAGCCCAGCAGACACCATGGTCCAGTACATGGAACTCTTCAACAAGATCCGCAAGCAGCAGCAGGTGCCGGTGGCGGGGATCCGTTAGTGACTGGCAGCTGCCCGGCTGAGCTGTCGCCAGGGGGACTCCACAGGAGGAGCAGGTGCTGCACCCTCAGGCCTCTGGACCCCAGAAACCCAGGGCAAACGGGAAGGTTTTCCTCCCTCTCTAGTTCCCAGCTGTGGCTTCTGTTCTGGGGCTCTGGACTCCCCTCCCCTGACCCTCACACACAGCCCCCCGACAGGTGTTTCAGCTGGACTTGGCCTGTCCTCAAGAACAGTAATTACGAAGAGTGGAGAAGTTTGGAACTTTCCTGCTTTAGGGGAAAAGATAGGATGGGGGTGTCCCTGCCTCGTGAGGGTGGGGAAGGCAGTCTGTATTGCTAACTACTGGGGATTTGGTCCAGGCCCACAGTGGACAGGCTGCAGGTTGTGTTTGGGTTGGGCTGTAATAAAGGCTTCTCCCTCTGCTCAAAGGATGTGGCTGGGCCCCTCCTGGAAAAGGAGTAAGAGGCACAGCTTACTTGATGGTTATCATTTTCTGACCTGTTTGCTGAAGTGAATTGTGAGTTCACTTTTCTAGGGTGTTGCCTGAGTCCTTTGAAGTCTTCCTCTGGACATCTTTCCATTCTGTTGTGAATTATATTAAGGCACAGGCTAAGGTGCTGTAACAAGGAGAACCTAAAGTACAGTGGCTCTTAGAAGTTTCTTTTTCTCTTTTCTAATAGTACAGAGGTAATCAAATGGTCCAGGGCAGATTGAACTCCACAGGGTCATCAGGAACTTGGTTTCCTTCTGTCTTGTTTAGCCACCCCTAGGGTGTTGTCCTTGGGTGAGTCAAAGTAGACATTGGCTCCATGTCCACATTCCACTGGGGAAAGAGAGAGAGAAAGCAGTTTCTTTTTTAAAGGACATGACCTGGAGTTGCTTAAATCACTCTGGCCACATCTTGCTGAAAGGAACTCTGGGACATAGAGCCTCTTACTTGGGTGGTCTTGTGCCCAGTTAAAACGCTGGGGGTTCTGTGACTAAAAGACGAAGGAGAAAATGGATGTGGGGACCCAGTTAGTAGCCTCTGTTACACGGAGCTCAATGGATGTGCCCAGGAATGTTCTTGGCTGTTACTTTGCAGAGAGTACCCCTGTAAGCAAGCCATTCGTTTATGAGTTGGACTGTGATAGGGCTGATGCGAGAGCCACTTTAGCTGGATTAGTCACATGGGAAGTCACTTCCACACCCCCTGCCTAAGTCTCAGCATCAAGACCTCTCCAGTTCTCATGCGCCCAGAGCTTAGGGTTAGACAGTTGACCTCGTACTCACACTGTGCTTCATGCTTTCCTGAGCTCTTTCTCCTCATCTCATTTGAGCCTCCAAGCTGCTCATTTGACCTACATTGTCTCCCTACCCCACTCCTGCTGCAGAAATGTTCAGTCCAGCTAGCATTGAGATACACAGAGATGGTCTTAGGAAATGTATTAATGTACATACTGCAGTATTGTCCTCAAGGATACTGTCCCTCATTGAAGGCACCTAAAGAGAAATTGTTTTCAGATCTAAGTGCTCAGATCTAAAGCCTCTGTAACAAGAATCATGCAGTGGTCATGTTTCCCTTTTAGCTTTGGCTGGCAGGAAGCTCAATTCAACTTTCTAACTGTAGGACCTGTCATTTGTGTTTCTTGTTCTCACCTTCCCCTGGCTTCTTGTTTGTTTCTTTGCTTTGTTTTTACTTTTTTTAATGGAGGTATGTTTTAGATATTATTTACACATAATAAAATGCAGAGATTTTTTTATGTTTTTGGCCTTCTGATTTATGTTTGCTTTTGTCTAGATTAATCTATTTGTATTTTTCTGTAGGCTGCCTCAAATTTTCTATGAGATGAGATAGCATTTTGAACATAATGTGTTCCCGAAAATACATAGAAATTGAGTGTGGTAAATATAACCCCAGACTTATGCATTATAAAGAGGGGTTCCTTAAAAACTAAAAAAGTAGTATAAACTCCCTAACTATCTGTGCCTTTTAGACATAATCTTGACTCATAAATTTCCAGCATACTTCACTTTTGTTCTTTTCCCTTATTTTGAGCACACATTTGACCAAGATTTAAGTCCAGTAAACACCAGATCAGGCTTTAAGAATTGCCACTTTTTGTCCATCTTTGTCCTTTGCGTCAGTTAAAGAAAACTTATTGCTAAAAAAGGCGGGTAATGCAATACATTTTTTAATTAGCAAATTCAACTCCACTAGCAAAGTTGCCAAAACTGAACTGGTAACTAGTGGGAAGGGCCCAAATGTCATCCAGCTTTTGTATGTAAGTCTGAATGGGGCTTTCAAGAGTAGTTTAGGGTTGTCGGTGTATAGTTTTTGAAAGTTCAGGTTGAATGAAAGTTGAGGAGCATTTGTATAAAGGGAAAAGAGGCATGGTTATCCTCATTCTAAAAATGAAAAAAACTTAAACTCAGCTAGTAAATGGAGATGTTGTATTTTGGGTTCAAATCTGACATTCCTCCTTTTACACTAGACTGTCTTCCTGTGACTCCTTCCTTTGCTTCCGGATGCCTTACCCCTCTCCCTGTCTGTAGCTACCCCAAAAGAGCAGAAACCAGGACACTTCTGGGATTCTGCTAACATGTCACCTTGGTGGGTACCTTTGTCAGAGTCACATAGAAACCTGCCAACCTTGACTGTCAGAACCATGCAGGGCAGCTTTGGAGTTTACCTGGTTCTCCTTCACTGTAAGATGAGGAGGCGGTGGCTCCCAGGGGGGTCATGCTGAGAGGTGAGGCTGGAGTCAGGACCAAACTTCAGACTCAGGACTCGTGGCTCCCAGCGTGTGACAGAGGGTGGCGCCTGGACCTCTGTGTGGTGCCAGGTGATCTTAGGTGGAATGTGGAATACATTTTTGTTTCCGTACTTATGCCGTATTCTATCTAATGTACATCAGAGCAAAGTATAACTGGCACTTCATGTCTTAGGATGAGGGTAAATAAGGTTTTTAAGAAGAGTCCGCTTAAAGGGAACTGTTAAGTTATAGTGCAGGTGATACCTGCAAAAGGCAAAATCTGGAGGAGGAAGGAGGATGCTAGAATTTGGGGAGACACTGAGTTTCGTCCACTTTGTGTATCCATTGATAGTTCCTGCTCTTTCCTCCTGTGCTGTTCTGATTCTCTGTACCTGTTTCCACGCTGCCTCCCGCTTGCCTTCCTCAGGTCTTGAATACCAAGTTGTCACATGTCCCCCACTGTGTATTGGTGTCACTGCTCCACTGAGGGAATACCTAGGGACTGGCCACTCCTCCCCACCACCAGTTCTGCCCCAACCCGCTGTGTCCAGTGTTCATTCCTCAGGCTTCAGGATGAGTGAAAAGTTTTCTCTCCGAATCCTGGAGGGAGGATGCGGGGAGCAGAAGCGTGTCCTCCAGCTGTCAAAAGTTGAGACTTAAAATATGGGAAGGGCTCTAGGCTGAACATTTTGAGGACATTCACAGTGGATTTAGAGCCAGGCAGGATGATGTGTGGCCTTTCCCTCACCACAGCCTCCCTCTCCATATCTGCTGCTGTCTGGGAGCCTTGGGCAGCATTCCCCGGTCACAGTTGCTGTGCGGAATGGCGACCGGCTGGGTTACAAGTTTGGTCCTCTCCTGGGGAGTTGCTGTTTTTGGCCTTCAGTCACTTGTGGAGGGGATTTTCCCCCAAGGTGAGAACTCTGCCATTGTGTAGAGCATTCCAAAATCAGTCTCTTGGGTTAGAAGGGACCTTTGAGGTCACACAGTTTGACCATCATTCAGTATTCACATCTTTACACCTTCCCTCCCAGAGATCATGCCGCATTAACTTGGCCTCATCTAGGGAACTCTGTTCTCCGTGTATTTCATTTTTGTCATTACCTCTGAGACAAAAAGCAAAGCAAAGCATACCTGTCCTTTCCCTTGCAGGTTGTGGAGACTGTGTGGTACTTAATGAGGGAGCAGACCATTAGTTAGGGCTATAGTATGAGCAAGCCATGACTCTTCAATGCACTGTGGGTTCTCAGCCCCTTAGGGGAGCTTCAGGAGGCCTAAGATGCCTTGAAAGTGGACACGGCTTTGTGTATACGTGCAGTTTTCTGGGAATAGGATTTATAGGGTTCATTAGAGTATTTCAAAGATCTCTGGTCCCAAAAAAAGAATCTCTAAAGGGAGTACATTGTGAAGGGAAAGAGCAGGAAGACAAAGATAAATCAGGTGTGACATACATCCGGCTGACTTACTGCAAGCGAGACCTTCCACTGACTTCTGAATCCTCACCTCGGGTCCCATCTCGGGATTTCCCTCCTTCATTTTATAGGTCTTCAGGCCTTTCAGTCAGTTTCTGGGAAGCTGAACTGTGTTCCTGCTCTTTTCTTTCCTATAGGTTCCTGCTTCTCATCTTATCACTACATATACATACACACAACCTCTCAGAAATGAGTAGGAGCAAATATGTGTGAAGCAATCTTTATACTACTCTTTTGTGCCCCAGGAGTTACTCTTCCATTATGACACACTCCATGGGATCTGAAAATTATCCTGTTGTAGTGGCATTTTGCTTAATGAGCGTGTTTTCATTTTACAGGATGGTGTGATTGATGAGGCAGAGAAATAGTTCCTTGCCTCTGTGATGAAATTAGCAAGTTAAAAAAAAGGATTCTTGGAACTCTCGGGGCAAAGATTCCTAATTCTCTTGTGGTCTCTGTTTTATTCCCTAACATATCCCTGTCCCATCAGATGGCATAGACCTGTTTTTAAGGTTAATCTGAATTCTACTGAGTTTTCTTTGGAGGCTTTAAAAAAGAATTTAGGGACCACATTTGTATATCCTAGATTGTCCCAAAGGCAGAAGTCAATATTGGACATCTGTTGTGTGGGAAAGGCAAGGCTAGGAATGTGGAGGTGACAGGTGTTTCGAGGCAGCCTACTAAATGGAAGAGAACACTGCTTTAGGAGACAGATGTCTGGGTGCTAGCCATAGTACTGTCCCTAACTTGCCAGGTAACTTCAATCACGTTGGCCTTTCTGGATCTCATCTGTGTAGTGGGAGTAATGATGCCCTCTTTCTGTACTTCATAAGCTTGTTGAGAGGCTCAAGGGAGAATAGATGTAAAGAGTGCTTTGGAGGCAAGGTGATGCTGTCTCTGCTCTTGCTTCTTTTTAATGGTGCTAAAGGTATTGTGTATAGTTAGGATGTTTGAGATGGGAAGCTATAGGGTTATTACTGCTTGGTAGCAGGTTAAAATTCTCCTCCAGTGCAAAGGAAATAGTTGTAATAGAGAAGAAGCAATGTGGAGAGAGAGTCCAGAGAAAGTATCTATCATACAGGTGTATTTTTGTCATCAGTGAGATCAGTGAGCACAGTTGTAGGGACCATTTCTAGAGCATGGAAATATATTTTTAATATTTACTCATAGTGTTGGGATTTTACTTGTTCTCCTACAACCTAACGGAAAAGAAGCTGAGCTTTAAAAAAAAAAAAACAAGAGTGGGGTAGAAATGACTATATTTTCTTTGTGTAACACATCCATCCCTGTTTCCCCTCAACCCCTAAGCCTTAGCTGTGCCTGCTTCTGAGCTGCTTTTCGGGTGCCAGTGTATATGGTGGCTGAAGAAAGTTGTGTCTAAAGGAAGTTCAGTGTTCCTGATTCTATTTTCCATTCCTCATTGATGAACCACCTAAGCTCTTAACTCTGAAGCTACAATAAAACCTTTTTGTTAGCTATCTTGCACAGCCTTTTCATATTTGAATTATCTAAAATAGGCTTCTTATTCTTTCTGCTTCCATCTGATACACAATTCTCAAACTTTTTGGTATCAGGGTTCCTTGATGCTCTTAAAAATTACTGAGTACCCCGGAGAGCTTTTGTTTATGTAGGTTATATCTATTGGTACTTACCTTATTAAAACTCATTTATAATGAAAAATGAAAGTATTAACTCACTTAAAAGTAACAATAAACACATCACATGTTAACATAAGGAAAATATTTTAATGAAAAATAACTTTTTTTTCAAAGAAAAAATTTAGAAGAGTGGCATTGTTTTATATTTTTGCAAATCTCTTGAATGTCTGACATAATAGAAGACAGTGGCTTCTAATATCTGCTTCTGCAGTCAGTGTGTTGAAATTTGTTGTTTGGTTGAAGAATATGAAGAAAATCCAACCTCACACAGATGTGTAGTTGGAAAAAGGGAGAAGTATAGTGATACCGTCTTCCGATAATTGTGGATGTTTTTTGATACTACATCACAGCTCCGCTGAAGGTTAGTTGCAATGTGGAATCTCAAATTCTATCAGTGAACTTTTTGTACTCTATTATATTAACATTCATTGGTTTATTTTGCACTTTGAAGGGATCTTTTACCCATACACAATTTTGTAGCATCATGCATTGGTCATCTTGGAAATACTGCAGATCTTTTAAATGTTGACACATTTCATTTTGCAATATCAAACAATCATATCTATTACGATCACCACCAATCTCATCAGAAAAGTCTTGGGAAGCTGTTAAGCCCACAGTGGCAGATATGTTTTCGAAAATTCTAAGTTTTGCCTGAGAGCTTGAGTTTGATCAATGCTGTCAGCCTCCATTTGTTTATTTTTGAGAAAGTATCTTTCGGATACCCAAGGCTGAATGACTGTAATTTATCTGTTAGCTGTTCTTCCAAGTAAAAATGGTATTGCATGAATTGCTACTTCAGCTCAAAATTCAGAGAAATTGCACAAGTTCTTTTCCTCAAGAAAAACATTGTAAGGAACAAAAGTGCTTTATGCCTACAGCCACTTAATCACATAGAGGAGTATTATTGAAAAAATTTGTTCTTACATAAAACAAATAGTTTTTATTTTAGTGCTTCATCAAGGACTTCCTTAAAGTGACACAGATATTACTTTTTTCCTGTGAATGGGTGGCAGTGAAGAATACCTTGACTGCTAGTACAATTTAGTGCCATTGGCTTGATTTGTGATAAGGCAGCAGCAATTTTACCCATTGTGACTTTTGTATCATTAGTGCAAATGTCATCACAGTGACAAAGGCAAGTAATATCTTATTACTATGAAAATAGTTTTGATTTCAGGGACCCTCCTGAAAAAAGTCTGTAGCTACCAGGGCTCCGCAGGCCACACTTTTGAGAACCACTGGTCTAATACATACTCACAGCACTGAGAATCACCACCCGCATTGCTATTTTGAGAGCACCCCTTCCTTCAGAAGTCTTAAGTGGCTCCAAAATACTTCACTCAAAAAAGCACCTATAATGGTGTCACGTACTTTGTTAGGGAAATAACATTGAATAAGATCCAATCTTTATTCTCCAAGAATTTTCTCGAGGGGCTGGGGAGTAAGAGGAGAAAATAGATGAGTTATAATGTAAGGTAAGAATTCCTTAAAGAAAATTATGTTAAAGGTGTTAGACAGCAAAGGGAATGCTAAATTTTAGGTCTAACTCTGAGCTCTTGAACCACGTGGCAAATCCTCACCAAATCAGTCAGTCAACCACTAGGTCTTCTCCTTTCGTCAAGTCTTAAAAGCCTAAGTTTGGAAATGTTTTCACAGGTTTGGCTCCGGGCATTGTAGATTCTTGCTTACACGTGCACATGCTGTTTCCCCCTTCTTATTTTATTTGCTGTTCTTTGGCTTTTGTTGCTTCTCTATTTCATACTTACAGGTGTGTAGCTTTGAGCCAGTGTAGGTGGTAACACATATGTTTATTTCTTTTCCTTGCCCTTGTACTTAAACGTAAGCCTTTACCTGTTTTGTTAGCCTTGCGTTGGGTGATGTAACTGTTGGTCTTATTTGGAGGAAGCCCCCCCATCCCAAGCTGTGTCAGGGCAATGCACCCAAGAGGCTGCTCGGGAAGGAAGCCTTTTCTTAGACTGAGAAGATTTGTAGAAATAACCGCTGTTCTATTTACCTGGGGTCTCCATCCCCACGATCTGCCGAACTTCAGTTTACAGCAGCGAAACTCTTAGGGGGATTTCCATAAAACAGCTGAATTCCGACTGGGTCATCAGTGGCAAAAGTCAGACACGTGCTCACTCGCCTGGGAGCCAATAGTAACTTTTGCAAAAGCTGCCTCAGGAAACCCCACAGTTCGGAAGCTGCATCTTTCGGACACTGAAAAATAATAGTCTTTTACCAGAACAAAACAAAAACCTAGACGGGATAATGAGAAAGGCTTTTCCCCTTGGCATTGGGAAGCGATGTCAAAGACGCTCCATCCAAAAGGAGTGCGGGGAGCTATCGTAAAATTCCTTTACCGTTCCCGCGGGCTAATGGGCTGGGGAGAAGGGGGCGGAGATGGGCTCGGGTGAGTCTCTGGCCCTTTAAGGAGGAGGGACAGGCGTAAGACTCTGTACCTTTAAGAGTCTCTTTGTCTGGAAACCTCCGTATTTACCCTCCTGTGCTTCAACCAAACTTCGACCCGCGATTCACAACGCCCCTCTACGCCGCCGCCCCTTACGGCAGGCTCAAATCGGCCGCGCGTCGGTGGCTAACCCTAAACTTGGCAGCCGCGGCGCGAACCCTCGGAGGGGATGTCTGTGTCGGGTCAGGGCCCAGCGCTGCGCCGCTGGCGCAATGCGGGGCCCGGGGGCGGGGCTCCGGCGGGCGGGCCAATGGGTGGGCAGGGGGCGGGGCCGTGTTCGGTTGTCTCGCGCCCTGGTGACAGCTCGCGCGTGCTGATGATGGCGGTAAATAGAGGGGGGTTAGGGGAGGGGGCGGAGGAGGTGGGGAGGCAGCAAAGGGGATAGCTCCAGGGGGTGGGGGGACGAGGACCGGGGAGGGCGCGACGGCCAGGGAGCCCATTCTGGGACTCGGAGGCGGGGACAGGAGTCTCCGGCACACTGGCCCTCCCCTTTAAAGAAGCAAAACCTCACACACCGGGTGAGGGGCGACAAAGGCGGCGCGCGCCTCACGGGCGGGAGGAGCGGCGGCAGGGGGCGGGACCGCGGCACCGGCGAGCTGGGGGCGCCTGGGGCGAGGGCCGGCGGGAGGCGAGAGCCGGCTGTCCGGGAGGGTCGGCCCTTTATTTTGGCGGGGTGGGCGACCGCTGGGTTTGGGGTAAAAGCTTTGAGGGGAGAAGGGAAGGAAGGCTTGGGAACGGTTGGGGGGAACGGGTCTGTGAATGAGACGAGGAGGATTAAGGGGAGAAAGGGTTAGAAGGCAGGGAGAGGAGTGAGAAAAAGCCAGCCAAGGAGGTTGGAAGGAGGCAAAACCCAGGGTGGGTGATAAGGAAGCCGGGCCGGGAGTGAGGTTAGGAAGACAGAGCCTAGGAAGACGGCTCCTCGGCTTAGGTGTGAGAGAAGGGGTTTGGAGGGGAAAGCTCTGAAGGGGATGGTAGTGGGGTGAGGGTTACTGGGGTAAGTGTTGCAAGTGGAAGGCAAGGAGGGGCAGAGCTGGGGTAGTAGTTGGGAGTAGAGGAGAGAGAGTGATTAAGAGCCAGACGTGACAAGGGTGTGAACTAGTGCAGAGCGAGATGAGCTGAAGGTCTAGGACCGGCGGTGGGTGGGAACTGCGAGGTTCTGAGAAAGGTATGGGTTAGTGGGTGGGCAGTGGGTGTAAATTCTTGAAAGTGAGGGAGGGGGAATGAGACACTGGGCTAGAACCAGGTGGAGTTAGGAATAAGTGCGGTGGGAGTGGAAGGGTGAAAGGAAATAGAGATGAGAGATGGGGCGTTTGTAGGACAATTCGGGGACCAGAAAGCTGAAAGGAGAAGAGGGTGAGGGTGTGAGAAGTGATGACGGTCTGGGACAGGATAACTGGGGAATTGTGTTAACTGACGAGGTTCAGCAAGATCCAAGGTACAAACAGGGAGGTTAAGAGACAGGGTGTAAAGCGGACCAGCAGAGGAGCAAGGAAGAGGTGGGCCCCAGGATTTAAAGGATGAGATGGGGAGTGAGGGAAGAGAACAGGGTTAAGGGCAGCTTGGGGAAGCCTGATGGATGTAGAGCTGGGGTAGACTGCACAGGGGTGGGAATTAAGTGTGCAGTTGGGGGAGATGCTCCAGAAGGTCCTCGTGGATCAGGGCAGAGACGCTGTAGTGAAGGATCAAGTGTAGGGAGCCTTTGGTGCAGAAGAGGAGGAACCATGGTGAGTGCAAAGAGACCTAGAGATAGGAGCAAAAACCAAAAAGTAACAGTGGAGGTAGGGGGTGAAGGAAAGGAATTCTTTGTTGAGAAGAGAACTGTGAGTGTGTTGAAACTGTGAGTCCTTTTGTCCATGAAAGTAGGATATTCCAGAAACCTCTTTCTCTCTTCAGGGAATCTTGAATCTGCTTCCACCTTTCATGGCTTTTTAAATCGACTTTTCATGTCCACTTTGAAAAGATGAGACCCATTTTGATTTGATTTTGTTCATGTATGAATGATGAAGCATCAACTGGGTGCCGAGAAGCTCTGCATTTCACCAGTGTTGTGATAATGGGGAAATGGGTTGTATTTCCAGTGTGGTTGTGCCTGTCTGGTGTGACAGTGTTGTGTTGTAGCAGTGTGATAAATGACAAGCACTGGGCAGTGCTTTATCGATAGCCTTTTCATTTTCAATGGGGAACACACTGTTGTTGAGATAGAGAAAGATGAAAATCTTTTTGTTTTGTTTGATCAACCAGATTTCTGCCTAATTGTTTTTGGTGGCTGGAGAATATTGAGAAATCATTTCAGAGAAAGGCGAATAGCCAACCAGGGAAGTTTGCCGGGGATGACATTTAAATCGGGGCAGTGAGGACACCTAGTTCCTAAGCTACCTTTAGCTTTGTGTGGGACTCTTTATACTGTAGTAGGGAACTCACCCATTTAACAAAAATAGAATAAAGAAAGGGAGGTTTAGAATAGTAGAGGACTTTAGAGTGGGACTTACCTTTTAGGTTAAATAATGGGTTTATGGGTAATTTTTATCATGAAAAAACCTCTAAGATAATGCAAGCTGGAGCCTTGGACAGCTCCACTGCCTCTTCTGTTTTGTAGTTGTGAATGAAAAAGATTAATATTTTCTAGAAGAAGCTTTTGATTTTTAAGACACTTTTGGAAATTAAAAGGAAGATAAGAAATTTGGGACAAAATTTAGGTTATTCTTAACCAAGTATTTTGTTTTGATGATTTTTATCCTGAAGCTTTTACATTTAGCTAAGAATATGAATGATTATTTGCATTTGATGGTGGCAAAGATAGCATATAATGTACTTAAGAAAAAAATGCAAACTATTCTCGAGACTTATTTGAGGTTATTTCGTTAGTGTACATTCAGTTACACAAAGATGCTTTTTCTTCAAAGTTGTGTAAATTTTGGATTGCTGCTGTTTTGTGGGTATTTGTATAAACGGCAAAGATCAAATGGTTGATAGCATCTGTGATAGTTAGCAAAGATTAGATTTTGATTAGTGGATATCAGAGACATTGGTTATTAATGTATTTTAATAATTTAGGATCTTAAATCTTTCTGGATGCAGCTGCTATGTTCATGGATTCTAGATTCTGTTGAGAGGTGTTCAGGGTGACTAGATTGATTTAGCAGTTTAACAGGATTTTAAAAAATTACTATTTTTCCTTCTAAGTTTCAAGAGGATTAGTCTGAAATGTTAACTTTCAAGCTGAAGAGTAACTTTGCTATGAGGCACCTGTTTCTGTGAGATGTGTGCGCATGTTCCCTTCATTTCTAGGTATGTCTGGCATTGCTAGTAGGTTGTGCTCTGTGTGTGGTATTGCCATATTTATTTATTTATAAATATTTATTTATTTATTTTGGCTGCACCAGGTCTTTGTTGCAGCATGCAGACTCTTAGTTGTGGCATGCAGGCTTCTTAGTTGTGGCATGCATGTGGGATCTAGTTCCCCAACCAGGAATTGAACCCGGACCCTCTGCACTGCGAGCGTGGAGTCTTACCCACTGGACCACCAGGGAAGTCCCGCCATTTTTATAATGTAATTGTTTTGTACCTGATATCTTTACATAAATTATTTTAGACTTATTTGATAATGATGAAGAAGAAAATATAAACTATAAGCTAAACAAAGGGAAAGTCCATTTGGGTCTTATCTATTGTTTCTGTATGCTGCCATAGTGTGTTAAATCACCACTTCTTGTTGTGAGTGGTTATTTCTAAGTTGATATTTCTTTTTAAAAAAAAATTTATTTATTCATGTATTTATTTATTTTGTTGGGCTGGGTCTTTAGTTGCGGCAGGTGGGCTCCTTAGTTGTGGCTCATGGGCTCCTTAGTTGCAGTGTGCATGTGGCATCTAGTTCCCTGACCAGGGATTGAACCTGGGTCCCCTGCATTGGGAGCGTGGAGTCTTTTTATATATATATATAAATTTATTTATTTTATTTATTTACTTTTGGCTGCGTTGGGTCTTCGTTGCTGCACGTGGGCTTTCTCTAGTTGCAGTGAGTGGGGGCTACTCTTCGTTGTGGTGTGTGGGCTTCTCATTGCGGTGGCTTCTCTTGTTGCGGAGCACGGGCTCTAGGCATGTGGGCTTCAGTAGTTGTGGCACGCGGGCTCTAGAGTGCAGGCTCAGTAGCTGTGGCGCGCGGGCTCACTTGCTCCGCGGCATGTGGGATCTTTCCGGACCAGGGCTCAAACCTGTATCCCCTGCATTTGCAGGCGGATTCTTAACCACTGCGCCACCAGGGAAGCCCCGGGAGCGTGGAGTCTTAACCACTGCACCACCAGGGAAGTCCCTCAGTTGATATTTCTAAAATTGAAAATGGACAATCTTTTAGTACAAATAATACTATTTATCAATAAGGAATCCAGTGATAAATTTAAGCTTTATCTTCATTTGTTCATCAAGTAGAATTCTACTCAATTTACTTTATTTTGACTACAATCTTATTTGCTAAGCGGAAAACTTTTCTTTGACTGCATTGGGTCCTCGTTGCTGACCGTGGGCTTTCCCAAGTTGTGGCGAGCGGGGGCTACTCTTTGTTGTGGTGCGCGGGCTTCTCATTGCGGTGGCTTCTCTTGTTGTGGAGCACGGGCTCTAGGTGCATGGGCTTCAGTAGTTGCAGCATGCAGGCTCAGTAGTTGCGGTATGTGAGCCCTAAGGCTCGTAGGCTTCACTAGTGACATGCAGGCTCAGTAGTTGTGGCGCACGGGCTTAGTTGCTCTGCGGCATGTGGGATCTTCTGGGACCAGGGATTGAACCTGTGTCCCCTGCGTTGGCAGGCAGATTCTCAACCACTGTGCCACCAGAGAAGTCCCTAAGCCAAAAACTTTTAAGTTTATATATTCAACAAGTAGGTTGTACATAATTAAATGTTTTTCTGGTTAATTGTAGATTCTTTGGATGGGAAGAGACCTTGAAAGGACCTCTAGTTTATCCTTCAACTTCAGTCAGTATCCCACTTAAATCATTCCAGGTAGATAAAAATGTATCCTATTTGTGTAAATCTTCACAGGTAATGTGGCAACCTTTGTGGGTACTGTTTTCCAGCATTTAATTATTTTCTCTATAAGGACAGTGTCTTCTGTCTAAGCAGAACACAGTACAATATTTGTTTGTTCTCTCTTGCCCCATTCTCGATTTTTGAGTAAAAATACCTGCTTACTATAGTATTAAGAAGACCCTATTTCTTTGTAAACTCAGTAATAGTAGCTACCCATGTGTAGTGCTTTTGTGCCAGACGCTGTTGTAAGCTCTTTGCAGATTGTAACTCACTTACTTCTTACAGCAATCCAATGAGGCCAGCACTATTACTGTTCCCATTTTACATGTGTTGAAATACAGGCTCCTTGAGATTAAATGACTTGCCCGGGGTTATATTCAGACCTTTCTACAGCTACTTGTTTGATAGTTGATAATCTTATAGTACAGATAATGCTGTTTATTTTGTCAAGTAGTAACTAAATGATACATTTAATCTTTCTTTTTAGTTTATAAAGTAGAATAAGGTGGGGATGGGATTTGAACCTTGGCATTTTGTGGGCAGTCTGCTTCTGTATTACCTCTGCTTGACTGTTGTGAAATGATCCCCCACCATGCTTTTCTCCGCATTATTTTAACCCTAACCAGTTTTGTTTGCCAATCCTTAAATTAGCCCTATGGTTCTGTTATTAACTGTTTCTCAGTTCCTTCCTAGATTGGAACCTGGGACAGATACCAATAAGGGCCATATTTCATGCAAAGATTACATCACGGTTCTTACATGCTTGTAATTTTTTGTTGCAAAATTGTATTTATAAAACAAAACAACCCCAAATCAATAAAATGCCTAATTGCATCGCAGTTTAATGAATTACCTTTTTAGCTAGAAAAAGGCCCTGGACTTTTCCTCAGTGGGCAACAGTCTCTCATCTGCAAACCTGTATGATATATAACAAGTCCATACAGGTTTGCAGATGAGAGATTATTGCCCATTGAGGAAAAAATGGAACTCAGATTTCAGTGTGGCTATCCATAGGCAAAATCTGTTCAGACTCTTGCTGATTTTTTCTATCTTCTCTTTATGTGTGCCTATGCAAGCAACATACTAAATACTATTTATTCATGCTTTAATTTGCTTAAATAATTGATTCACTTTTTTTTTAAGACTTTAATTTTTTTAGAGCAGTTTTAGGTTCACAGTAAAATTGAAGGGAAGGTACAGAGATTTCCCTGCCCCAACACATGCATAGCCTCCCCCCGCCCCGTTATCAACATCCCTCATCGAAGTGGTTCATTTGTTACAATTGACCTACTCTTTTTTTTTTTTTTTTAATGTATTTATTTTTGGCTGCATTGGGTCGTCTTTGCTGCGCGCAAGCTTTCTCTAGTTGCGGAGAGTGGGGGCTACTCTTCGTTGCGGTGCACGGGCTTCTCATTGTGGTGGCTTCTCGTTGCGGAGCACAGGCTCTAGGTGCGCGGGCGTCAGTAGTTGTGGCACGCAGGCTCAGTAGTTGTGGCGCACGGGCTTAGTTGCTCCACGACATGTGGGATCTTCCTGTACCAGGGCTTGAACCCGTCTCACCTGCATTGGCAGGTGGGTTCTTAACCACTGTGCCACCAAAGAAGCCCCAACCCACTCATTTTTCAAAATAACTAATAATTAGGGTTTCTAAGTGCCCAGCATGAGCTAAGTAGGTAAATTGTTTGAAACTCAAAACAACCCTAGCAGAAAGCTTTTTTGTTACTACTCAATTTTTTTCTGACTTTGGATTTTTTTACAATGTTTCAAACCTTATAGAAAAGTTGCAAAAATGATACAAGGAACTTCTATATACCCTTCTTCAAATTCACGAATTGCTTTTTATTTTGCCCCATTTACTTTATCATTTTCTCTCATGTGCATATATTTAAACAAGTAAAT